GGCTCAAGTGTTGACATGTTCAATCCGGGGTTGCCTTTTTGGAGGGAACGGACGGGACACCGTGTTTCCATTGAGGTTGGTTTACGCTCCCTCTCACTCTATGCATAAAGATACATCTCAGAACAACGATTTTGTTTGGAGGGTGCCCATTTTAAGAGGAATGCTTCAAAAAAAACGCGCTCCTGTTAACATTCCAGACATAGCAGATATGTTTTTTGAACTGTTTGCCCTTTTGGTTTTCCTGCATGTCTCCTTTCAGCTAGCAAAGTTATGCTTTTGCCCGTCTGGCCCATGTGTCAATCTGCGCGGTTTATGTAACTGGGGCCGACATGAACTCTGTTTCAGTCGCCGGGTTTCAGTGGGCCCTGCGCATCGATACCTGGCAGGGCTTCCTCCACCAGGTCTTCGGCATTCGCTTCAATGAGGACCATCTCTTCAGCCCTGCACTGAGGGCTTCTCACTCCCTGATCTCGGGGTAGCCATTTTTTTATGAAGCAAAAGTGTAACCCTCACATGGGAAAAGAGATTGGGTTTTTGGGGTGGAAGTGGGAAGTTTGCCAGACTCAGCTTTTCGGTTTGCTTTTTGGTTTTCCGTGGGTTATGCAGGGTCGGTTGGTGTCCTTGCTGTTGAGCCCGTCCAAGAAGGGGGTCGCCTACTTTGACTCACTTGCCAAAGCCACCCTTTTGCCCTTTTTGGTCCACTTTTGGTCTTCGCCCCAAAAGGTGGACCTTTTATGTCCGGGGCCTGTGGGGAACTGAGTTGGTGCATCGCCAATCCTATTATTCTAGGGGTTGATGCCCCATTCTTTTCAACCATCGTTCTTTCCAAAACCGGCCGGCTCCCCTCGGTTTCCGGAGGTTTTCTAGAAGCATCCCTGGAAAGAATGGAAATACCCTTTGCTCAGGGTGCCCGCCGCATAAACTCCGCGTGACCAAGGGAATCCATCTTGCGAAGGCCGTTCTTGGCACGAACCATGGCATTCCATCCGCTAAGGGGGGGACGCTATGTTTGTTTGAACACCAGTCTAAATGCAGACTTGGTCGCAATGTCTAGGATATGGCTGGTTCATTTTGGAGGGACGTGAAACGGGGGAATTGCTAAGTGTCCCACAACCACTCAGTCAATGTCCCATGCCCTCTTGGGGAAACGTGTATAATTTTGAGCGCGGATTGTAAGTTCAACATGGGCATGCGTCAAAATAAGGGGACTCCAAGAAGCGGTGTTTTGTTTTCTGGTAAAGGGGGTATTGAGCCTCGAAAAGCGCCGTACCCAAAATCGAATCTATTTTCCTTCCTTTGGTGTTGTTTCTTCGAATCAGATCATGCCTGAGGCCTTCTGACGGTGCTGCTGGGAGGCGCGGTTTCCGGGCGGGAGGGTTTTGCCCAAGGATTTGTGGCGAATTGATATAGCAATTTAATTTGCGTACGGACACAAACAGAGGTTGACCCTGCTCCCCCTTAAAGGAGGGTTTGTTGGAACTTGCGGGTTAAGCGATCCCTCGATCGCTTCCGCGCGTGTCACAGGCTACTACGCCGCCAAGGTCTTCCAGGCGGCGATGCAGCCGCAGAAGAAGCCCAAAGCCAAGGCGGAGAAGACGGAGGACAAGAAGGATCCCAACGAGAAGGACAAGGAGAAGGAGGAAAAGGAGGAGTAGTGCAGCGATGGGGTGCATGGAAAAAGGCCGGAATCGCAAGCACTTTTGCCGCGTGTGCGTTGGGGAAGCAGGCGCTCCAGCTGGATTCTTGCAAGCGCGCTCTGCCGTCGCGGCTGACCTTGGGCAGGATGTGCCCCAAAGCTGGGCACATCATTAAATCCTCACCAAGAACCCAGGCAGTGACCATTCAGCTTTCCTGTTCATGCGTTGCCGGCTTGCCCGAGTTCATACGCCGCACTGGGAGAAGTCCAAACGGTGTCCCAGAAGAAAGCAGGCAACCAAAGCCCATCCCTACTCTACATCTTATTAGATTCTAGTGGCTTCATTGCAGGTAGGCCAGTATAAATCCGCAAAACCTTCTGTGTTGGTAGGCCCTCTGGCTTCACGGGAACTAGGCAACCCAAACCGCCCGCCGCGGTGCTGCACCATGAAGTTGCTGCTGCTGCCTTTGGCGGCGGCACGGCTAACCAAGTGCCCAGGTGCGGCCGGGCGGCCCGGTCGCGGAGGGACCCGTGCCGCGCGGCAGTTTCAGGGCATTTGTGTGGGACAGTCGTTTCAAGTTTTGGTTGCCCCCAAGCCGAAGCCCATGGGCCAAAATGTCCAAAAGACTCTTCCCGGGTTCAAAGATCAACTTTGGGCGATGCGGGGTCCAAGACCCCCACATCAAGGTCGACAGCTTGGGGCTTTCTAACCCTGGATCCTGTCCCACTTTGGAGGCTCCCAGTATTCGAGTCGCTTTTGGTGCCTCCTAGCAGAGGGCACGTGTTTTTTTTTTTGGGAGGTTGGGTCACCACAAGCTGAGAAGGTCACAAAGGAGCGGCCGTGTGCTTTGGAGACCCGTTTGGTGGGTCTTGAAGGGGAACCCATCCGTTTTAGAGATTTCCCGTTTAAATTGACAAACTAGTGTTGCTTGCAAGTGAGTGAAGTTCCTCCTAGGATTGCGGGCTGGGGAACGTTTGAGCAAAGACTTATTCTTTTTGTCCGGAAGTGTATAGCAGCAAATGAGGGCAATGTCACTCTTTCAAAGGGAGCAAGCGCTAGGTGTAACAAGTACACAATCCTGAGATCACTGTGTTGTTTTGCTGACTGTATTGCACGTTCACAAATATGATTTGGTATTGACGCCAGAGGCATGCACAAAGTCAAAATACATGGCTCCGAAACCTGCCAGAAACTAGCCACTGAAATTCCTAGAGGAAGTTATCAAGCCCTTCGGTTTTGGTGGGAATTTCTCAGCTTCCTGCAGCACTTTTTGACTACCCCAGCGTAGACTTAAGACCAGTGTTTCATTCCGTTTCATTTCCCTTAAGGGAGAACCTCTGGGTTTATCTATCCCAGGCAACTTGAACCCAGGCGTTCGTTCCCCCCAATAAAACATCTCTGGGTTTAAGTCTATCTTGGGGGTCAAAAAGTGGAGCCCTGTCCTGAGCCGCTTTCACCGCCCATCCGTGACTCCGTGCAGGGGAAGACCGCTCGCCTGAGGGGACCTGCACAGTGGATGGAGGCACGGAATGGCACGAAGTCCATCTCCGACCCCATACCCCCCACCCCCCCCAACAACCTTTTGCTTGCGGTTCAAACCTGTAACAACTGTCCATGTAATTTGAAGGGACTTCCGCATTTTTGAACCAGCTGTACCTAGCCAAAACTCGCTTCGCCCATGTCCAAGCACATGGGTTGAAGTTTCGTTGCCTGGTCGGCTGCACTGCCTACCCAATGTTGGGTGTCCAGTGTCGGGCGTTTGCCCAGTGTCGAGTGTTCCAGATAGCAGTGTAATTGTCCCCTGCTGCTGTTCTGAATTCCTCCGGCTGTAAGAGGTAACCAGGCGCCTGCAAGGGGCATCCCACATTTAAAAAAATAAAAAAAAAAAGTACTTTTGCTAGAAGTTTCCCACAACCATGACTGACACCAGGAGTGTTAATCCAATGCTGCTGGGTTTCTCCCAAGCCATAGCAAGGCTTGGGAAGCTTATCCAAGCAGAGTTTTGTTACGGTTTGTTGTTCGTAGCCCTATCTTTTTGCCAGTGAAATTGAGTTGGGTTCGCGCTGTAGGCTTCTCAGAGCTGGTCCATTTCGCTGCGCTGAACCAATCAACTGGGGACTGCCCCTCAGGGAAAAGCATGCTGGTTTGCGTTGACACGTCTGAGATTCAGCAGTTAAATGTCCAGTACTCGGTCCATGATCCGCACGTGACTGCCATGCGTTGTGATAACCGATTTCTTGGCCCAGTGTGCAGTCAGCAGTCTGTGGTTCAATTGAATCCCTAATTTCCCCCCGCCCCCTCCAAAAAAACTAGACAACGGTTGGCCCGAAAGCATAACATCGCAAGCGAGGTCGGCCCAACGCTGCAGGATGCGTTCTTTTTCCCTACACGAAGCATTCGTGAAGCAAGCGCGAGACAGCGCCAGGCAAGGTGCTCTGCGCAAACTGGTCGGTGCAAGTTGGTCTGCGCAAGTTGCTCTACGCAAGTTGCACTGTGCAAGTTGCTCGGCGCAAGTTGCTCCGCGCAAGTTTCTCCGTGCAAGTTGGTCCCTGCAAGTGGCTCCCTGCAAGTTGCTCTGTGCAAATTGCGCTCCCTGCAAGTTGCTCTGTGCAAGCTGCTCTGTGCAAGTTGCTCTGTGCAAGTTGCTCTATTGCAGTTGCTCTGTACGAAGTTAGCACAAGTAAGTTGTGTGCGCAAGTTGCTCTGGGGCGAGGCGCTCTGCGCAAACTGGTCGGTGCAAGTTGGTCTGTAGAGTTATGTACGCAGGATTGGCGCATACAGTTGCATCTTGCGACGCCCGCCCACGGACCAGGGAGGAATCGAACCCGCGACCCGCCGGTTCCGGGAGCAGGCGCGCGAACCACGAGACAACTCCCGAGGACCAGTTCGAACACAACAAGGGTCAGCGGGATAGACGCCAGGCCGCAGGGCAAACTATCGGTTTTACGGAACCATGGGTTTTTGCCGATCCCCGCAGAGGGTCGCGCGGGAACTATAGAAATCGCAAAAAAACCCAGGTTTTGCACCTCGACCACGCCGATCCCCACAGAGGGTCGCGCGGGAATGTTAAAAATCGCAAAAACCTGGAGTTTTTGCACCTCGACCACGCCGATCCCCGCAGAGGGTGGCTCCTTTACAGCACACGGTAACCGCGCGATGACTCGCGCTGACTCCTCTGGCCCGACTCCCCTCGCAATGACTCCTTGCAATGACTCCTTGCAATGACTCCTTGCAATGACTCCTTGCAATGACTCCTTGCAATGACTCCCCTTTACCAGCGACTCCTTTACCATGACTCCCGTGGCTCCTTTGTGACTCCTTTTATTGACTCCCTTTGACTCCTTACAATGGCTTTCATGATGGTGATTCCCTTTGTGTGAGCTCCTTTACCATAGCTCCCTTTACAATGACTCCTTTGTGGCTCCTTACAATGACTTTCCATGTGTTGGTTCTTCCTGTGGCTCCCTTTGTGGCTCACAATGACTCCTTTACAATGACTCCTTGCAATGACTCCTTTCACAATGACTCCATTTGTGACTTCCTTCCTGACTCCTTCCCACAATGGCTTTCATGATAATTGGGTTCCCTCCAGCTGCCCCTGTGGCTCTCATAGGAAAACTCCCATGAACCCAGCGGAAGAACCCTTCGCCATGCTTTCGGGAACAAACAAGAAAACAGCCAGACTACTCACTAAATTGACCGAATGCTTCTTGAAAGCATTCGTGGTTGTCAGGGGTCACCACCAGTATCTCCCAGCCTGGGGCCCAGCACGGATAGACCTTCTGAGGGACCTCTTGAATTCGTTGCTGGTACTTGGCGCTCACATTGTCACAGGTCCTATTGGGTTTCGGAGGCCCCCTTGGCAACCATAAAGTGAGCGCCCAACCCCCCCCCCCCCCGCCCCCCGCAAGGGCAATTTTGTGGTGGTCCAGGTCTTATGGTTATAAGGCCCATATATGCCTGTATAACTTTCTTGGCAAAACCAAACGTCAATGGGTTGTGGGCGCTGGCGTGAGGCTTCGTTTGTTTGCAGCTACTGGATGCACATGGTAGCCGCCACTTCGCCCCGGGGCAAGACTGGTGGGACATCACCGGCCAGACCGCGAAATGGGCCTCTTGCCTGGCTCTTTGTTTCTTCCCCCCAGCTGGCTGAAAGCTATAGGGGTTCTAACTAATCTTGCAAAACTTTGCCCACACCGTCACCAGCGCCTCAAACCAGCACCCGGCCGTCAAAAATGCGCCCCCACCGTCCCCACCACCTCAAACAGCACCTGCACCAGCACCCCAAACTGCGTCCTGTAGGACCCTGCCGTTTTCTCCAGCACCCCGAACTGCATGCCCCCTGGTTGCTAGGGGGCATGCAGTTTGGGGTGCTGTTACTTGGACAATTTGAATGAAAGAACGCGCAACTTGCATTGAGAAGTGAACTCGATGTTTTCTTACTAACGGTTAAAAGAAAAATCAGCGAGAGTTATTGCAGATGCTTAGATGGTACATTTTAAAGAAATCTTCTTTACCAGAAAGCTTAGCCTTCCTCGTAGACTGGTAGGCTTTGCGTGCAACCCGCAGTACCATTGGGAAACGGCTTGAGGAAGGTTCTGGCCAGGTTGGCTTATACCCCGTGGGGACCCCAACTTAACTGTAATCCCCTAGGGACAGCAGCAAAGAGGTCCCTCGTGGGAGGCCTTTAAACAAACAAGAACTTTCCTTCCTCGTTTGGGGTGGTGGTGACGGTGTTTCTGCGAGATTGCTGGGGGCATGCAGTTTGCAGGTGTTGTTTGAGGTGCTGGTGACGGTGTGGGCGAAGTTTTGCAAGATTGAGAGCAGGGTGCTAGGTGGCATGCAGTTTGGGGTGCTGGTGCAGGTGTTGCTTTGGGGTGCTGTTTGGGGCACGTTTATCAGTTTGGTGGAGGTGCTGTTGGAGGTACTCGGGTGCTAAGGGTGTTGGTGCAGGTGCTGGTGGAGGTGCTTGTGACCCAGGTGCTAGGGGGCATGCAGCTTGGTGTGCTGGTGCAGGTGCTGTTTTAGGGGGTGCTGGTGCAGGGTCACGGTGGGCGCAGTTTTGCGAGATTGGCGCCGGGGGGGGGGGGATTTTTTGCGAGCATGACGGCTGGGCTAGGGAGGTGGGGGTGCTGATTCAGGTGCTGCTTTGGGGTGCCGTTTGGTGCAGGAAGCCCTCGATCAAATCCTGCACCTTTTCATTTCAAAGTGTCCATTCTGATATGATTTGGCCAGCGAGTAGTGTGCAATTCTCGACCTGTTTTATGCTATTTGGGGTCTATGCTGGTGTATATGTATTTTGTTTGGGGGGGAATGGCTCAGGTAAAAAGAGGGGCTGGAAGAATCAAAGAAATCTTCCCGTGGTTTCCGGTCTCAGGACGACCGGATACGCGGCAATGGCGGGGACAGCTGGTGCGTGTGTGCCACATGCGCCTCGGAGATCGTGGACAAGGCACTCGAAGCAATTTTCTGGGCTCCTTGAATCTCTCCGCTCTGTGTGCGTGCGCGTGTTTGCGGGTAATGATACATGATTCAAAACCAGCCCCGCCCACAAGGTCGACGAGGCAACTCCCGGCGCTTTTGCTGCCATTCTTGAATGTGATTCTGGCCTGGGGTCATTCGCAATATGGCGGTTGTAAAGCATGGATGGTGGACATGCTGGGCGCTAAAAGCTAGGTGAAAGAGGGGAGTACCACTCCACAGTTGGATTCGGCGTGCAATTGATGTTACTTGGTGTCAGGATTTGGGGGGAACCACAAGTTCTTGTTGGTTTCTGTTGCTTCCGCTTGTGCTACGTCGCTTGGGGTGATCAAATTGACTGGTGCCTTGCATGCTCGCAGGTGGGGTGCGAGAACATGCCCATCCGCTGCGATGCAACCAATGAGCGGGACGTCTTTGGCATTGACTTGCCTGAGTACAAATCCCTGGAGCCCTGGATGGGTTGTAAGGCTTATTTCCGTGCTGGAAATCGGGTTTCAGGGCCACTTTCTGCGACACCAAGGCGATCCCCTGCAAAGTGATAAAGTACGCATGGGAATTCGGAATGACCCATGTTGGTGTCACGGACAGGGCGAGTTTCCACAGGTTTTGACTCTTCGGGAAATAGAAATTCGAAGCTTCTACCTGCGGAATAACAGCAGCTCACCCGTCATGAAGGTTCTTTTTTAAAGAAGTCCTTTCTATTGCTTCCAGTTGCAGAATTGCTTTTTACCCGGAACTATGCACAGCAAAAGCAACGCGGTTCCGAGGGTTCGGACGCCCTTTGGAATGTCGGGAAATCTACCGAGCGGAAGTAAGACATAAAACCTTTGGATCCTGACCTATGACATCCGGCTTTAGTCGAGGTAGCTCTCTTCTCACCTCCTCCAAAGGCCGTTTGGGGCTCACAGGATTCTCTTTGGGTGCCGTTTTTGAGGTGGTCCCTCTTTGAGGGGGGCTCAGACAACTATGGGATTGTTTTCGCCTTGTCTCCTCTTCGTTCTTTGTCTAGTTTTTCTCCTCTTTCTCATATGTTTCTTTCTTGTCATCGTTATCTTCCTTTTTCTTGGCATCATGTTATTTTCTCTTTGTTTTTTCCTCTCCTCTCTTTCTCAGTTGTTTCTTTCACCTCTCTTCACGCTCTCTTTCTCTTTTTCTCTCTTTGTTTCCTCTCTCTCTCTCGCTCTCCCTCTTATCTTTTATCACGCTTCTCTTTTATCTTTTCACTGGTCTCTTTTCTCTTGTTTTCCTTCCTCCCTTTTCTCTTTCTCTGTATCATTTCTTTCTGCTTGTATGTCTTTGCATTTGCTTATCAGTGTTGTTTTCCTCTTTCTCTGTCTCTCTTTATTTTGCGTTATCCTCCTCTTTCTCTGTTCTCTTCTAAATGTTGTTTCTCTGCTCTCTTTCTCTGTCTCTTTCCCTCTTTGTCTCTCTTCTCGTTTCTCTCTTCTATTTTTTGCATTTTCTCTCGTTTTCCTTCCTCTGCTTCTTTCCCTTTCTCGGCTTAATTGCATCAATCAGTATTTTCCTGTATATTTTGCTTTCTCTTTCTTTTAGTTGTCTCTCTTTTTCTGTTTATTTCTCTTTCTCTATCTCTTTCTTGTTTTCCCCTTGTCTTCTTCGTCATCGTTTATTTCTTTTCTTATTTCTCGTCCTCTTCTTTCTTTTCCTCTTGCGCTTCTTTTTCCCGCTCTCTCGTTCTCTCTCTCTCTCTCTCTTCCTCTCCGGCCCTGCGTAGCAAGCCATTCGATAGCCATTGAACGTGGTCGCTTCGCGCCTGCACTCATGGGTGCAAGTTCGCGGTGCGCACACAGGCAAATATAGCCCAAAATGACCGTGTTCGTGGTGGGCTTTTCCTGGTTTGCCTTTCCAAGGTGAAAAGGGTGCCTGCAAGAAAACACACACCCACGAAAAGTGCGGAGGTTTTCCAATTCAGCCTGGCGGGGTACCAAGCAGCTCAATACATTCCATGCTCGTCAATCGTAGTCAAAACCTGGTACTCAAGGGGTCTACCCAAACACATGTAAAGAATCAAAAGGGCAGAACCAGTTTTCATAACTGGTCCCTTTCTAGCCTTCACTTGCCTGGCTTTTGATTATGGTTCATTTGTTGTGGGACCCCCTTAGCAGTCTTCCCACGCCCAAACGAAGGGCAACCATATTCACCCCAAAACCACACCTTCAGAGAACGCCAGGGGAGTCCTCAAATAGCCAACGAATAGTACGAATAGGTGACTAGAAATTTAGTACTGGAACTCAGTGAGGTTAGCTCTCTCTCTCTCTCTCTCTAAGAATGCACGCCTCACGCGTGAAAGCTCTTAAAAGCCAAGAGGTCGCGAGAACTGGGAAATGACAAGTGGGAGAAAGGAGAAAGCATCGGCCCTGTGCATGAATTCGGCTCTGCCGGAAGTGCACAAACGATCTCCGTCGCAAGGCGGAACGGATGCGCACACTCCGATTCAGCCGTGCGCACTTTGGGTGGGTGGACCCTCAAAGACTTGTGGTTTTGTACGATGTTCATTTCGCTCGCACAGCCCTGTGCGGATTTGAGAGGGTTCGACGTCCTGAAATTGTGGTTCCTTGCCTTTTTTCAGCATGCACGACCATCAAAGGGTGAACCCTCTGCGGACTTTTCGGTGGGTTGACCTGAGTAGACTCATTGTATTCAGTTTTGTTGTTTGTTTTTTTTACTTGCGCAACTATCAAACAAACGGTGAGCCCTTTGCAGAAGTTCAGCGGGTCGACCTTGTCCTTCACTGCAGCTTTTGTTCAATCGTTAATTTCAAGAAGGACTCCAAAATCTGGAAGAAGGATCCCCCCAAAGAACCTCTACCTGGAACCCCTTTTCGGAAACATCAAAAAAGCCTCTTTGGAACCCCTTTTCGA